GAGAGCGAGGCCTGAACGAAACGGGGAGAACGAGCCCCCCCGAAGGAAGAACGAGTGCCCCCCGCAGGAAGGACAAGTCCCTCCCCCAGGAGACCCCCAGGGCGAGGGGAGTATCCGAACCCCAGGATAAAGCACGGGAAGCTTCGGTCGGAAGCGAGGCCTTTTGTGTTTATTGCTACAGTGCTCAAGTAGAGGGGCTTTTGCTTCTACTAATTACCCATAAGTCATTTATTTCATTGACATTCAAAGCCTCCACAATGGGTTAAAATATTTAAATCATTACTGTTCTACATAGCCAGAAGGTTTGGATGTGTGAAGCCCAACACAGGTGTTGTTAATGCATCTTCTCTGTATCACTTCTAGCAGTTTACTTACTTTTCGCTACAGAAGTGCAAGATACAATTGCTGTTTTTCTAAAGTATTTGAAATTAGAGGCTAATTCATCAAGTACAAGGTTTCCTGCCTGAAATGTGCACAGCGTTCAGATTTGAAGTAACACAGATCTATGTATAGTTCAACAACATAATCCCAACTTTTTTAAAAATGCAACTGAATATTAACTGTTAGCACAGAAGCAGATGGAATAGCACCTCTCTTGCTACTCACTTGTAGGAAAGTTTCTTCTTCAGAAGGACAAAGCTCCTAAAATCTATTTTAAAGTGTAATGTAAGCCATAAATGTAGACTATATTGTAGATCATATTTCTATGTCTTCAAAAAAAGAAGTCACAGCAGGTTAATAGTCACAGAAAAAAAATGATCTAGGCTTGATTTAAACAGTGCACCAGCGACTGCAGGTGTGGCCTACGAGAAAGCATACGACACACAAACTGATTCTCAAGCACAAAAGTTCATGAAAGTCCTTCCAAGTTCCCAAAATCCTGGAGGAGCATCTCCAGTGTCTTTAAGATTTTTATCCATTTTCCCAGCGCCCTTCAGGCCTGCAAATTATTTCCCAATAAGCTCTACCTACAAAGAATCAGTGCCAGCATGCGATAAAGCCCAGCCCGCACATCGCAGATCATCCGTTCCGAGGTACCACATCCCGTACGCGCACGCATCTCGCCATGGGCTCGGCAGAAGCTGCAGCGGCACAGCTTTGTGCGGCTCCGTGGGAGGCTTCCAGCAATGGAGCCTTGAAAGCAGGGAAGTTTGCTACCACGTCATACAGACAGTTCGGCAGGACACGCTTCCCACCACCTGTAAAGTGCTCTCTGGAATTAGATGTACTTTATGCTGCAAGGTAGCTTGCTGCAGTCATAGCCACAGAATTCTTATTAAATGCTTGGGCCTTTCAGTTATCAATTGCTTAACAGGGAACGAAGAGTGTTCATGCCTAGTAAAGAAACAAAATGTACCTTTGTGCAGGTCAATAAAGCAACCAAGCAAATCAATAAGATACTTATTCTTAGAAAAAGCAGACTAGACTATGAACTTCGGCTGTTATTTTAAACTTTGGTGTTATTTTAGAACCAATGAAACTATTCTCAATATTAAATTGCAGTTTGGAAATTGTTTTAGGCTTTGTGCTAAGTCAGTACCTGATGGCTTGCTATATTTTTTGCTAAATTAAGTCAATCAAGAAAAAGGCAAATGCTATTTCTGTAAGGAAAGGTCTTCCCTCAGGTGCACTATTAAGAACAGCAACAAAAATCCTGACTCTCTGAGCCAACTGCAAACCTCTTAACAGAATTAGGATTTCATGCAACAGTGCTGTATCCCTGCCTTATACGAGAAACATGCCAAACAGCACATTTGTAATTCTTTGGGGGCAAGAATGATCCCTTTGAAAGCAGGATTTGGCCCCTCAGTGTTATCACAGTCAACCTCCAGTGATTTGTGTCCCCATGCCTGCATTGTAATCATTCAAGTTTCAAACTCAGTAGCACAGATTTAGAAGCACTGGTTACTACGGCTTCTAGTCTTTAACGTCTGCAGTACTAGAAAATCAGAAACGGACATTTCCCTGTGGCAAATCATTCCATTATTGTCTCATCGGCCACCTACTGCAGCATCTGATCCCAGCCCTGATCCACAGACCACAATTTTGCTCCAGTCTAGCAATATCTCTGCTCACCCACCAGCTTCTCAAAGGCAACTCAGGGCCTTTTTTATCCAAGGGGGATGGAGGAACACATTCTGTAAGGGACTTTACAAAGAGAAAACAAGATAAAGTTATTATCCTTATGGACCATTGACTCTTCCATTTGTAAAGGAGAGAGTTCTGCATACAACACATTACATGCCTAGAAAGAAATGAGTAGGGAGAAGAAAAAGAGTTGCCGAGTGCACTGCACTGCCGAGAGGGGTGTTAAACTTCCAGCTGCTTGCCCATCTTGCTGAGGGCGTCACTGACAATGTCCAGCTCATGACGTAGCTCATTCACCACGCTGGCAATGCTCTTTGTGTCTTTCAGGATCTGCACGCTTTGAGTATATGGATTGTACTTCATGCCAAACGGGCGCTTGATGGTTTTTGCAAACTCTCTATTCGAGTAAAAAAAAGAGAGGGAGTCAGAAACAAAATGCAAATGCATCCTCTAAGCAGCCAGTATCCATCACCAATTTTCTGAACTACTTACTTTCTTAAAAATAGTTGTAACTATTACATAGTTCACCATCTTTCCCACCCAGTACATGCAAGACCAAGCAAATACTAATCTCAGTTTTCCAACACCATGACACATAATTATAAAACTGTGAGAAGAACAAAAGGGTTTGGTGCTACTACTGAGAGACGCATGACATCCAATCTGCTTTTATAAAACAGGGGGAAAAATAAAATCTGTACCTCATCTTCTCCTTTGCTTCTTCAAAACTTTCAGAAACAAAGTAAACCTCCTGGAAAGTTGTAATGAGGCATTCTTGCTTGCAGGTGACCCTTGGATCAAAAGGCTTGACTTTGGCACTGCCAGAGAGTGAGTGCTGGTAACGTAACATATCACCATGTGTCAGAGGAATATCACCACCCAAAGCATCCACAAGGAAGGTGACATGAAGGAGAGTCAATGAAAAAAGATGAAGTGAGACCACATTTAGTGCACCGCTTCTTAAAAATTTTATCTGCAGATGAACAGTGGTTAAAGCTTAACAAACAAGATAACTATAAATGGTCATATTCTGCCAATCTGGGAGAAAAAAGGGATTCCTCAGACATGAGTTTCATGTGTAAATAAGAGCAATATTTTCAGAATCTGGTTAAATCAGCAAGAGCTTTATTCTGAAAATAGTTGCTTGGAACCTAACGCTAAGAAATACCAGCCCGCAATGCTTCCTGTGAAAGACACGGAAGCTGCTCAGCATACATCCAACAGCAGACTGTCCAATAATTATCGCCACAATGAGTTTTCTGAAAGTCTAGTAGGTATGACGAGTTCTCAAAAGAAAGATTTTTAGAACTATATGTCATAAAAACCAGGGCAAAACAGTGACAATAATAATCAGGCACAAACAAAGGAAAGAGGTAAACAAGCAGTAGATATTCTTACCTTGAGCTCACTAATCGAAGAGAGCAAGCCAGCCCCATAAACGCGCAGCTGTCCCTCTTGCTTGCACAAGCCAAACTCTACAGTGAAGAAGTAGCACTGAAACAGAGAAGGGAGTAAAATAATTCAGCCTTCAGCAAAGAGGCTGTGGTGAAGCAGATGGGGGAATTTCTATCTGTAGGCAGTGTCAAACAGTTGCAGCTATCAGACAGTCATCACCGGGTTATCCTTCTCAGATATTTAAAGAGAAGCTAGAATGGAAGGGCAAAGAACCACAGGATTGTGTGTTTCTCATAAGAAACCTTGACACTATAGATCACCCAAGTGGGCTAGAAGCTGTCAACAGCAATAGGAAAATTGAGATGTAAATCTGTTTTGAGAAATATTGTCAGCTTAAAAGAAACACTGGACAGATTGGATCTCTCTGAATGAGTGAAGACATCAGCTCACTGCAGTTTGTTTCTCATTTGGTTAGTGGCCTGTAAAATTAAAGATCTTTAGTTTGCTGGATTTCAGCATTTCTGCAGGTATACGGGGACAAACGATGGTAGATGGCTTAGTTCTGCTTCCTCTGAAGGCAGTAAAAATTTTACCACTTAGCTACACCAGGTGAGGAAAAAAAAATTATACCACCAGTTCTTTCATAACTGGCTTCAATTAGTTTTCATCTAAATATAATTTTAATTTTAAATATTTTTGTCAAAGCATCCAGCAACTGATATCCAGGAAATAAGATCACTTTATATTTTAATTTCTTGCTAGGGCTTACCACATTCAGTGAGCATACCGTATCATTTCAATTTATTCTGCACATTGAAGAGGTAGATTACTTTTAAAATCGTTGATTCATGTTCACAGAAGAAAGATCTTGACACCAGAAGTTGCACCCTTACTTGACAGCCAAGGGAAGAACTACATCAATCCTATCAACCTTAAAATGTACTTTTTTTCCTAGCATGGAGAATTGTTATATGCTCTAAAAGCCAAGGACCAATGAAACACATAGGTCTAGCAGCTGGTGTGGCTCATGTTGACATGAAGCTCCAGATTTATTCGATGGAGTGGGATCAGCCTAGTAAAGCACGAAGCTTTCAATGGGTTCACCAGGCACTCCAACACTCACTGTTGCCAGTTTTTGGACAGCCTCATCTGATGCCCCAAGTGATGCAAGACCAATTTCCTGGGAGAACTGAGCAAAACTGGGTTCAGCCAAAAGAGGGACGTGGCCTAGGAGCTCATGGCAGGTATCGCTGGAAAAAGAAACAAACAAGAAATCTCATAATCTGTCTTTGTGGTAGAGTGAAAAAGCAGCACCGCTGAACAATGTCTTCTGTTAAACTGTTCAATATCCAGAAGTCAGAAAAACTCCAGTCATGTTTAGCTGGAAGCAACCAACTCTGCTTAAGTACCTAAACTCAGATTTTCAAATGAAGCTGCCTAAAATGAAGATCTGAGCTCCACATTTGTGAAGCAATTGAATCTTAAACTGACCTGTGCCCAATGACATCAGTAAGCATTCTCCAAGAACATGATATACCTTTGAAAACACTCTACTTATGAAGGTGGCACTTGAGCATGCTAAAACTTCGTTACATTCAGCGTGAAGGCTGAGTCTTCAGCACTTTAAAAAAAATTTTATTGCTGGTGTTCCTGAACAGCTTTTAAGTAGTTTGGCTCTGGGTGGCAAGATTCAAAACTCTCTCGAATTCTACCCCAAGATTAAATGACTCACGGCTCTGGTGTATAGAGAGGGTCCGAGCTGTGTCTAACGTATTGAGTGCAGTGAAAAACTCTGAATGCTAATCCTGCCAAGAAATCTCTGGGCGACAGATATCCAGCAACGGGGCGAATGGTGAAACCTGTGCGCTCTGAAAAGGAATGGAGAAATTGTGCATTATTTTAGGTAGAATTGCACAATATTGTCTCACAATGTTGTCTTCTTTCCTGCAACAACTTTGGTAAAATCCACAGCACTTCTTTGGCTCAAGAGCATCTAGGAAAATTAGGCATGATTAGGAAAATTAGGCCTAAGCTTGAGAATGACCAGCATTTAGTAAAAGTGCCCTTAACTCTGTGTCAGTGGATCTCCTATGATGTCCTATGATAGAGCCAACCCAATACAGCCAGTATCTCTTTATCCTTACACTCTCTTCAGAGCTAGCATGGCCCTTCTAATATCACTGTCAGTATATATTCAAGAAGCACAGAAGCCAAAAGGCCTCTTAATGGATCAGAAGCAAAAATGACCCAAGGATGTTTTCTCGTGCCCACAAAATAGGAATAGACCTTAGTTCCTTTTTGTGTAAAAAAAATGAGCATGTTACCTTTCAGGAAGCGTGACACATCTTCCAGCTGGGGGATATTGTCTTCCCTGTACCCACAGTATTTGGTGAGCAAGGGCAAGTTTTTAAGGTACTCTCTGCAGGCATGACTTGGATAAAGCTTGTTAAGCTCTCGGTACACAGTCCCCCAAGTCTTGATCTCCTCCTCAGTGAATTCAATCTTGGGGATTGGGTCACCACTACATGGAGAAGAGGAAGAAACGATATTCTTTGGTAAATGACTAATACCAGATGACTCATTTACCTACTACTACATAACATCTATATAGCTGTGACACCTGGTGAGGGTGCGTTAGGCACTCACTGTCAAACACACAGTGTAATCCCATCTATGCCCTGGAGAGCTTTTAGCCTAAGGGCTTGCTCTCTTTTCAATCAACTAACAGGGATCTTTGCATTCACCTCCCTGGAGCCTGAAAGCTTCAGTTCTGTAAACAGCTTTTTAGGTGTTTAATGCTGAGCATAACATTTAAAATATCTGCACAACCTTCACAGCTTCAGGAGCTGAGAACACACCCTCTTCTCTCTTGGACTTCCCTGTCTGCAATTACCTTTAATTACCTTTTTGTGTTAGAAAAAGGTAATTCCCTGAATTAACAACGTATTGCATAGAAGCAGCTAAATATATACATCGGGTAAAAATCATACTTCTATGCAGAGGAGATAAGCATCTGTCTGAACATATTAATTATAGTCCGTCTCGGCTATTTAGCCCTCAGAATATTGATTAAAGTGGATTATAGCAAGGGTGTGACCTAAAGCCCACTGAAAGCAATCGGAGTGTCACACTGAGCTTCCGCTGCCAGGCAGGTAACTGGCACGGCAAACGCCTTCCCAAATGAATCTCTGTTAACAACATACTAAAGAGTAACCGGCTCTGTGCTGTGGTAAACAGTTGCATTAGTGCACAGTGCAGAAGAGCTCTAGATACCCACCATTTCTGGGTCAGTTCCAATTCAGGAACTTGGCATCTAAATCCAAGTAGGCAACAGCAACATGAAAATCATATTTAAAAAAATGTACAGCATTGGGCCATGAACCTTACTGCTTTAAGAGCTCCCTCCCCCAAGCAGCATCTCTAAAGACAGAAGGTCTTCAAGTTTCTTTTCACAGAAAACTTCTTATCTACCCATCACACACACTAGTTCGAACCAGGAAAGAAAATTCAAGTATTAACACTAGCTTAGAGAGTTTACACTCAGTGCCAATGGGCTATACACTGAGTTTTGCCTGCCCTCCCTCTCCTCACAGGAGACCAGTTTGCCCTAGGCCAGCCAGTATGTCCTGGCACACGCAGCCGTGCAACATGCGTCGTCCACCCTCTTCCTTTGTTGCACCCATTTCCAGAGAAGGGAGGGACTGCAGAGCCCAAACGTGCCGCGTTGCAGGAAGCCCAGCTGCAGACGAGCAGCCGTGGCACGGCCTCTGACTGATCAGCTGTACAATGGCCTAGATCTACCTCCTCATCTGGCCTTACACCTCCCTTCGTTTTACCCCCTTGGCTCTGATTCCTGAGCCAAGCACATCTCAGTGAGATCTGAGCCCAGGGAAGGTGAGCTCCTGACAGTCCACTCTGCTGTTATTTCAAGGCACCCGGAAGGCTTTATTCTGGAAGAAGTCAAGCTTACTGTTTGTAGTTCATAGCCAGGTCTGCAAAATACTTTCGCCTCTTGCGATAGACATTGTCTTTGAAACCCTGGTGTGGGAAAGGAGAAAAAACAAGTTAAAGGAGTTTGTAAGCTGTAGTAAATAAACTAATCTAAAACAAGACACATGAAATTTCTTCAGCTAGGAAAACTTAAAAGGATGCTGTGTAAGAATGAGAGGATAGGGTAGGAACCACTTTGTTTGTTCTGGCAACAATAAGGAAGAAAGAGGAGGAACCAAGCCTGCCTCACAACAGCTTTTCCTTTTTTCTTTTTTTTTGTTTTGTTTTCAATTTGTACAGGTCCAGACCTGAAGTTCTCATGCAAGTAAGCCTTGCACAAAGGTATGGGAGCCAAATTCAGTGATAGCCTTGCATGAACTGGGGAAAAGGCATGAAACCCCCAAGAGAAGGCGCTCAGACTCAGAAAGGCACTGCTAAGGTGAAGGAGAGGGAGGAGGAAAAGCTGCAATTTTTTCAAGTAAGCCCCACAAAGTATGTTTTCACTAAGGATTGGGTGTAGGGAGAAAAAAAAAATACTTACTGGATGGTCGGCATCCAAATCGGACCCATACATCAGCACTCTGTTGGCACACTTATCCAAATCTGAGATCTTCTTTGGAAACCAGGGAACATTCTCCATGTCTAGGGAACGCATGGAATCCACAGTTATTAATAACGCCGCACACGCTGAGGGAGGAAACGCTACTTTCAAGTACGGCTATGGCGGTTACAAGCGAAATCTATAAATTAAGAGGGCATGAATAAGACAAGGGAGCGCGGTGCCTATCTGGCACCAGCCTACAGCTCACACTTCCTCCTCTGTCACTGCCTCAGCCTGCAGAGCGCACAGCCAGCTCACACGCGTCCAGGGGAGGAAACAGTTAATGTGGGTTTTCAGCGGCCCTCAGCTGTTATTGCTGTGGAAGCAGCATCTCAAGGCTCCCACGGAGACAAGGCCTCCCTGTGCACACTGCTGGAAATCTTCTCTTCTCCCTTGCACCTTCATACCCTAGAAGTGATTTGCCTGCGGCCCCTGGGCAGAGCAGGAGCAGGTTTGTGTCCTCCCACCGTGCTTTACTGACCATGGGAAAGAAATGTTGCTCTGTGGTTATGTACCTCAGAAGCATCCAGCTTTTCTGAGGGGTTTGTAGGGAAGAAGAGGAGGCGGCCCTGCAGCCTTAGGGAGATGCTTCATTACAGTTTTGCTACAGGCTACTTTTTTTTTTTAAGCCCAAGAGTTTTTAGCCAAGCTCTTGACAGACTGTTTCATACACTGTATTTCTGCCCTGATGCTCTCCATTTTTCTGTAAAAGGACCAAGGGAGGTTTTAGACCAAAATTCCCCTTGCCTAGAGCTAAAGTAAGCTGTTTTTATCCAAGAACACCAGATCTCACCTTGCCCTAGCTAGCAGCATGTGCATAGCACAGTGGCTGAGAAACACAGAGTAACAACTCCCTGCTGCCCTGAACTTCAGGCACTTTGTAAACTAGAAGCAAAGGAAAAGATGCTGTGAAGCATCCTGAAGTTAAAAGGCACCTCTTTCACATGAGTAGAAGCACCATTTAGGATGAAGAGTGCTTACAAAAAGTAACTAAATAAATCAAGAGCAACATGAGGAAATTGGAGAATCCATCTCCCACCCTCTCCAGTGTCGGAACCTGTGAGTATTATGCCTCTCGCATCACAGCGCGCAGTCCCCAGCCAAGCCTCACGTTCCGACTTTGCTTACGTGCTGGCCTGCGCTGGCCTGTGCAGATGCAGGGACTCCAGGCGATGCCAGTCGTGCTGCACCGAGAACGGTCAGGAGCACAGACACGAGACACACAATTTTTGCACCAGCTTGCACCAGCCTCTCTTCCCAGGCGACAGTGGCCAACACAGCCCTGCTCACATCAACCAAGCCACACTCATTCACAGCACAGAAGCATAAACCTGGTGGCCACTAACTGAAAACACTACACAAATGCAAATGTGGACTCCAGAAAAAGGTTTCAAACCAACACACTGAGAAGCGCACTTCTGTCAGAATTGCCTGCCGTACTTACCGTCTTCCTGGACACTGAAATGCTCTGTCGGGTTCATAGAGACAACATTGACGTGGGATTTCAGGAGCTGGAAAATCTCATTCAGTTGTTCCCCATTGCTGTCACAGTCCACAAAGATCTCAAACTCAGAATTTCGCCTCTTGGACTTCCGTGACTCAATGTGTACCAGATTTACATGCTTCTCCTGTTTTATACAAAGTAGTGTTTTCAAACAAATTGACTAAAAACAAGTCACTAAAAAGTGGAATTTGTTTTTCAAATGAACATTCTACTGACATGGACTATTCACCACCTTTGTGAAGCTATCTTAGTTAATTGGATCTCTTGACAGCACTTTGCTTATTGGGGCGAGGGGAAAGGTTTGATTTTAAAAAGCCCCCCCCATTCAGAAGAAAATGAAAGAGAACTTGCGTTCCTCCAATTTCATTTACATTTAGAAAGCACAGAAAGACACAGTCAGGAGGTTTAAATTCAGAGACCTTTTTCTTTCATCCCTCCCATAGGAAGCTGATTAGCAACTGGGTCTGGGGAAATCCAGCAAAATGCCAATCAAGTCACCATGTAATTATCTCACAAGCAAGCAAGGGATTTAAAAGCAGTAATCTTCAGGGCATAAATCTAGCTTTTATTTGAGAAATTATTTAATCATATGTCTTATAGCAGCAACTGAGACAAAAACCCCAGGCCAAGACACGCAAGGCCAGATGGCAGAGCACAGTGGCACTGCACGTACTCCTTGCAGGACACCAGGACAGCCACGGAAGGAGCGCAGCTCTTCAATCGCGGCCTCTCTGTCAACCTCAGCCCAGCCAGGCAGGGTGACGAGGGCGCAGGGCAGCACCCCAGTGTCTGCCGGCCATCAGCGGGAGCTTCACATCCACTTCTCACATGCAGCAAACAATGAGCGTCCATCCTCTTTTCACAAGGGGGAAAGGCAAAACTCTCTCATCTTTGGCTGGTGCAGATGATACATTTTGTGGAGATTTTTAGCCAACCAGTATCTGATTTCTGAGGCATAAATTTGCCTTTTTGGGCAATTTTGGGTGCAAAGGGGAAGGCAGGTTAGGAATCACATCCTTAATAAACAGATGTAATTAATTCTAGTGCATTCCAAAACCATCCTTACAATTTAAAAATACAGAGCTGCTGTAGCAATGTGATTATTACATACCTGAAAGAGTTTTAATGCTTTTACAAGTCCTCCAACTTCATTCTTCAAGGAAAAAATTATGGCTGTTCTTCCTCTTTCAGATGCATGGTTTTCATTCTCTTTATTATCTTCAATCATCATGTAATTTGACTTATTTAGCTAAATGCAAACAAGCAGAAAGATTTTTCTGAATGGCTAGTAGCACAAACAGTGTAGAGTTGTACATTTCGGTTTGCCTTGGGGCAATATTGTGGCAATAGGAATACAAAAGACGGATCAGGATTTGGTAGATCAGAACTGAAAAATCATTGCCTTTTTTCTTGCTAAATAACAGTAAAGCACGGGGTTTTTTTACAGAGAAAAGAGACAAAACCTAAGGAGTTAAAAAGTTATGCTGACCCGAACCTGTTGACTATAGAGGCAGTCCCATTCTTATCAATCACAGCCAAGCTATTCCATCTGTCAGGTCCCCTAATTCACATGCCAAAGCCTTATCATATTCACCCAAATTGCACACTAAAATTTTTCAGACAACCGACACTGTACAACCACATGGTTTTGTACCTTACATCTCTCTCTTGACTTCTGAAATCAGTGGATGTCACAGACCATATTCTTAGCCACATGTAGCGAGGCCATAAGTACGGATAATATAGAAACAACTAAGAATGTGGAAAATGCAAAGAATAAATAAAAGGCTTAGAAGCAGAGGCTGTCTCCCACGTCTTCAAACGTTGCAAAAAGGAACAAAAAAAGGTGAAGGTTCTGAAGGAGCCAGTGAGAAAGGAGTGAGGAATAACGACAGCACATTACTGCTATTTGGAATTATTTTTTTGATCTGACACAGCTTTTAAAAATATAAATCACCAAAAGGACCAAAAAGAGCAAAAATAAAAACGTAATCAAAATGCAGCAGTTCCATCGATTCTCCTTCTACAGTCTCTCCAACTTTAACCTCTTTAACATGGATAATGCTGAACAGCTAATTATTTATATCTATAATAGGCAAGTTTAAAAATAAAAACCAGATTTTACCTATCTTTTATCAAAATCTTCCCATTTACTTTTTGGATTACAAAGGTAATCTGCCTAACAAAATAATAATAGTTTCCTTTTATGTTGCGTGTTTTACAACAAGGCAGATAGATATTTGATGCTGCTCTAAGAACGGTTACCAGACGTGAGCTCTTTGGGGTGCCAAGGCAGTATCCCAAGGAAGAGGTCTTGCTCCAAACCTACTGATGCTGGATTTCTGGCTGGGTCCCCACCTCTAACAAGTATAAGCCTGGACGACAGTGTCAGTCCATCACACTGCTTCAGATCCAGCAGAGCCACCGATCTCCATCGGCTTGAGTCCAAATTCTCTGCTGAAGGCGGGTGACAGGACCTAATCGAGGTTCTGCCGAGCAGCCTGCAGGTGTCCCAGATCACTTCAGCGCGCGGCAGGTCAGGATCACAAGAGCCAGGACCCAGCACCGAGCAAGGGTACACCAAGCAGAAAAGAAAAAAGCTCAAAACCCCACAATTACATATAGGGTATTGGTTCTTTTCCCAAGTGCAGAGATCGCCATTTGTGTGAGCCAAATCCTATCCAGGTGATGCTGCTGTAGAAGAAGCTGGAAGCAAAGAAGTCTCTGAAGGGAAAAACTGTTTGGCTGGTTCATACACATGGCTTACAGGCAGCATATTGGCTTGATTCCATGTTCAGAATCATTGACTTAAGACCAGCTTAGAAGGTTTGGCAGTTACCTGCAGTACTGTGAGCTGCACAGCCAGGACAAATGACAGGCATCGGAGAGTAACGTTCTCACTTCGTATTTCGCTGGTTCAACTAATGTTGTGGTTAGGATCAGGTGATTACATTTATAAAGTACTGTGTTTAAGAGATCAACACAGAAGATATAACAAAACGCAGTGTGTTCTTACATTAAGTTCAAAAATTACCTCTAGCTTCAGAATTTGAAAAAGTTGGAGAAGAGAAATCCAGATGCCTATAATGCCAAGTGCACACACTTGTATCTTTAACTCTAAATCAAGATTAATCTTTTGCTTTCAATTTAAAAATGGACTGAAAACAGGTCTGCATTAATGCAGCAAACATTTTGGTGCAAGACACGAGAAAACAGTAATGCAAAACCAAATCCTCTCCTCCAACAGCTGCACCTTCACTTTCATTTTATTCTGTGTCAGTAACTTGGCTCTCATCAAATCTGTCACTTTTTCTTTGTGCGGTAATTTATGAGCTTTTAGGAGGGTGAGCGGGAAATGAATATTCCATTGATGTTTGTTTTTAATGATGCAAACCATCAACTGATTTGCCATCGACCTTAATAAAAATACACAAACACAGGGATACTCTAAAGCCCTTATTTAAAGAAGATATCTAGGTGTTTTCTGCTTAAAGATTGCTCTTTTTTGGACCCCATAGCAATTAACTTCCCTTTCTCTCTCTTCCCAAAGAATATTCTCCATCAAATAGATATTCAACAGTGCATATTTTATGCTTTAATTATTTAGATTAGATAGCTGAGATGTCAAACTATCCAAACATATTCATCTAAAGGAAATTACATTTGGAGCCCTAAACTGAAGAATAAAAAAATCTTTTAAAAAAATATAATCGATACAGATTGTCGTTAATAGTACTCAGTAAAAAGTCTCAGCAGGCATTTCATACCCTCCTCCCTCTCTAACCAGCTGCTCACTTTCTCACTGTCCTTCTCACACACTTCTTAGCGGGGAGGGAGGAAGACACGATCTTGCAAGTGACCACAACGAGGTATCACATTACAGGGAAATTTTTCAGCCACGCCAAAGATCTTCTCGAGATTTAGTTCTCAGACACCAAACCGAAAGTCGTGCTGAACAGTTTGCTGGGCTTCCAAAACAGATCCGAGGGAGGTAAAATAATCTTTTGAGAAACTCAGTTTACAGTCAGCGTTCTTCTTTTCTCAAGGAATTCTACTGACTCTAAGTTGCACAGGAAGTGCAGCCAACATATAAGCACCGATTTCACCTGCTCTTCTCTGCTGTGCCGAGTGTATTCCTATAGCAACATCAAATAACCCAGGAGAGGATCTCCCTGGGCCATATCACACCGTCTCTCTCCTAAGCAACGGCGCACCAAACTTCTGTTCCGCCTTCCTTTCGCCTCCTCGCTTTTGAATTTGAGCGCTTTTTTCCGCCCTGCCTTCAGCCCAGAGGCAGCAGCGCAGCCCGTCCCGCCCC